TTTTTGGAGATGGAGTTTCGCTCTTGTTACCCAGGCTGGAGTGCAATGGCGCGATCTCGGCTCACCGCAACCTCCGCCTCCTGGGTTCAAGCAATTCTCCTGCCTTAGCCTCCTGAGTAGCTGGGACTACAGGCACGCACCACCATGCCCAGCTAATTTTTTTTTAGTTTTGGTAGAGATGGGGTTTCACCATGTTGACCAGGATGGTCTCAATCTCTTGACCTCATGATCCACCCGCCTCGGCCTCCCAAAGTGCTGGGATTACAGGCTTGAGCCACCGTGCCCGGCCTGGATCTGTTTTTAATTAGTTGAGTTTATTTTTTACATAAACTCCAGTTCTAATTTGAGGATTTTACTGCATTGACTCAGCTTTTAATCTTCTTTAGCAAAAGTCTTACATTCACTAGCGTATAAACAACTCAAGCCCTCACTTTATCCTATCATAAAACCACCTGGGGTTTTCTAGTGACTCAGCCTCATCTTCATCTTCTTCGTGACTCTGCCTGACAGCCCTGCCTGTGTTCAGAAAGCCTGTAGTCTCCTGAATTTGCACCTATGCCAGGGCCAACCCTGGCATGCCACAGGTCTGTGGTTTATCTTCAGCCACATTTGTCTTTCATTTTTGTGCCTGGCAATTGCTTGACCTGATTATATTGCACAGGGTCATAGTTTTTTTGGTTTTTTTTTTAGACGGAATTTTGCTCTTGTTGCCCAGGCTTGGGTGCAATGGCACGATCTTGGCTCACTGCAACCTCTGCCTCCCTGGTTCAAGTGATTTTCCTGCCTCAGCTTCCCGAGTAGCTGGGATTACCAGCATGCGTCACCACGCCCTGCTAATTTTGTATTTTTAGTAGAGACAGGGTTTTTCTCCATGTTGATCAGGCTGGTCTCGAACTCCTGATCTCAGGTTATCTGCCTGCCTCGGCCTCTGAAAATGCTGGGATTACAGGCATGAGCCACACATGCCCAGCCCAGGGTCATTATTTATCAGAAACAAATGACTGGCCTGTCTGATTGTGAGTCACACATAGGAAAAGTAACTGCTTACTTAACTTTTATGGAATTTCAGTCATGTTGTACAGAAAGGCAGGCATATTCTCAGATTGCCTCCTATTGAGTTGCTGGAGGCATTTCCCAGGCATAGGATGCTTGTACAGAACCTTGTGAAGAAACATTCTCTTAGGAAATATTGGATGAGAAAGGCTGGCTGGCTACTGAAGTTTGACCTGAAAATTCGAATGATTCTGCAGTTCTCTGGGTATGAATCCTCAAGGATCGGATCTGAAAGAGATGGTCAGGTCCTGGGAACACAAGAAGCTCCTGGTTTATATGAAGTAGCTAAATGTTAAAGCACATTGAGGAATATGGAGTGTTTGTCCAACAACTGGGTACTTACATTCTCTAAGCAAATAAGAAAGCAGATTAAAATCAGAAGGTTTCTAGTTGAGTTAAAATTAATCTAAAGGCAAGTGGAACTCCTGAGTTTGATTTGTGTTTAGTTAGGTCAATATGGAGCTGAAAATTTTCTCTTTGTGTAATCGTTGTCACCAATTCCAATATATTTCTTCCCAGATAGTTCTGGAAAATTCATGAAAAATCAGAACTCTGCAGCTTCCCTTGAAAACTGAGCCTCTTTTCCAGGCTGTCAAGAGTCTCTCTTCCTGATGGAGTAATAGAAATCAGCATATAAAATGACCTTCCACAGGCTGTATCATAACTAAAGCACCAAAACCATCCATGACATATACAACATTGTTGTTCTGTACCTGCCAGACATCTGAGATGTTGATGGCAGGAGGACTAGGAAGGCAGGAGACTCAGCTTCCTTCAATTTTTACTGGGGGCTTCTCACCTAGGTAGCCTCTACCCAGCATGTACCAAAATTCCAGACTTCCAGAAGGAAAGCATTGTTTGTACAGACAGTTAAGGCTTACTGAGCTGATCTTGTGAGTTCTCAAAATGATGGCAGCTCTTCATGAAATTCAAGTTCCCAGATGCCAACCAAGAGCCAGCCTTGCAAACAGGCCTCTCTAGGGATAGCAGACCGCAACTGAATGGCAGGGATCAATGCCTAAAGCAAAGCAACTCCAAACAGACAGGACATGAGGAAGCCACCCATCTCTGAAGTGGTACAAGAAGACTGCCCCCATTCATTTTGGGCAGTTGCTATAAACAAGCTGCAGAAAACTCACAAAATTTGGAAACACTGTTTTGCAGCTTGTTTTTTTTTTTTTTTTTTTTTTTTTTTTTTAATCCCTTTTTTTTTTTTTTTTTTTTTTTTTTTTTTTTTTTTATTTAACAATCTCCCAAGGATGATACTCCATGTCAGATTCAATTGTCATTTAACAGTTTAATTGTACTCCATTGCATAGATGTACTATATTTCACTATCTTTTATTGATCTACCTTTTGCTTATTTTTAAATGCTTAAAATGAAGGAAAGTATTTTAAGAATTAAATCTTATTTTTATAGATATTTTCTACACATTTTGTAAGCAGGTAACACTTTTCCTATTTCTAGCCTGTGACCCAAACAACAAACGCCTTCGTCAAATCAAGGACCAGATTCTAACAGACTCTCGGTACAATCCCAGGATCCTCTTCCAGTTGCTATTGGATACTGCACAGTTTGAGTTTATACTCAAAGAGGTAAAAATATTTGAATGAATATCACCATAGTCTTAGCTTTTTTATGCTTAAAAATATTTTTTAAAAAAGACTAGGATTGCTTGCTCCATCTCTGATTCAAGATTCAGATTTCAGCTGTTGAGATAGTTCTTATAGTAAAAGGACAGATATAAACATTTAACAAGCATGTAATACCTCCTTTCACTGAGGGTACAGTGACGGGGAAAGGTAAATGAGATCGTAGAGGTTATAGCCTAAGGAGGAATATAAACGTTAATCAAAGACTCATACTAGGCCAAGTGCAGTGGCTTATGCCAGTAATCCCACAACTTTGTGAGGCCGAGGCAGGCACATCACCTGAGGTCAGGAGTTCCAGACCAGCCTGGCCAACATGTGAAAACCTCGTCTCCACTAAAAATACAAAAATTAGCTGGGTGTGGTGGTGCCCGCCTATTGTCTCAGCTACTGGGGAGGTTGAGGCATGAGAATCGCTTGAACCAGGGAGGCAGAGGTTACAGTGAGACAAGGTCACACTACTGCACTCCACCTGGACCATAGATTGAGACCCTCTCTCAAAAAAAAGAATCACACTAATAAAAATGTAAATACAAACTCAGATATTTGCTCTGAAGGAAAGGAATGTAGTTCTCCAAGTACCTAAAATAAAGTATCCTGTTGCAGCCTGGGAGACTTCCATGAGAATAAAAGCAAGAGCTTCTGAAAGGACCTGGAGAAGGGGTCTGTGAGTGTTAGCTAGACAAAGGTGGGGATTCCAGTCAGAAGAACATTCCAGTGAGAAGAAGAATATCAAGTCTTCTTGGGTGAGGAGTAGCATAAACAATTCAAAGACCTGAAAGACCAGTTGGCTGGAGGGGAGAGAGGGAGAGAAAGGCAGTGTGAAAGGAAGCTGAAAGGTAGGCAGGAGCCAGCCCATGCTAGGCCTTGTAGGACTTTGGTCTTTATTGTAAGAACTGTGAGAGCCTATCGGAAAGGGATTAAGTGGGATGGGTAATTTGCATTTGTACAAGGTCATCCTGAGGACTTTAAGGCATCTGAGTTCACTGAAGGAAATGCTGAGGTTAGTCTTTACCTCCAAAGAAGCTTATATGAGCATAATAAAAATGATTGGTACCTGGGAATACCCAGGTCTTATAACCAGTAACCCTGGGGGTTTGGATCAGGTGGGCCAGGAATAGATCGGATATTTACACCTGTTCAGAACAGATCCTCCTTTTGCTTCAGTTTTGTTAATGGAATACTAGATGTTTATCTTGTAGGTGTCTGAGGACACTATATTCCCCATTAAGTAGCTCAGAAAAAGTACATGCCAACTGCTAACATAATGATAATGCCTGTGCTGAGTGTTTTCAGTGATTTGTCTGGTTATTATTTTATTAAATCAGGTAAATGCTGCTCCTTTTTGATCTATTAATAATTTTAATGATTTCCCTCTGAATAGCAAATAGTTATTGAGTATCTACTGTGTTCTTTGCTAGGTACTGGAAATTTAAATATGAACAAAGTGTCCCTATCATCTAGGAGCTGTCAGTATATTAGGGGAAGAAAGATTAAGCCAAGATGAGAAACCAGGAAAGATCCAAGAACAGGAACCAAGTCAAAGCAAAAGTGGCCTTTCAAAGGCAAGTGAAAAAAATGCTCCCAGGGAAGAAATGCCCAGTCAGGCCGCAGTGGCCCACACCTGTAATCCCAGCACTTTGGGAGGCCAAGGCGGGTGGATCACCTGAGGTCAGGAGATCAAGACCAGTCTGACCAACGTAGGGAAACCCCAACTCCACTAAAAATACAAAAATTAGCTGGGCACAGTGTGCACACCTGTAATCCAACCTCCTGAGGAAGCTGAGGCAGGGGAATTGCTTGAACACGGGAGGCAGAGGTTGTGGTGAGCCGAGATTGCGCCACCACACTCTAGCCTGGGTGACAGAGCAACACTCCTTCTCAAAAAAAAAAAAAAAAAAAACAAAGAAAGAAATACCCTGAGGCCAGTTAGAATCATGAACTGGAGCCCCAGAAACCCAAGAGTTCTATATATATAGTTCAGCATTGTCTGACTGACCAACCCTACATTTCTAATGATAAGTCTGTTCTCTGGAATCTATGGAAACCAAATGGACAACTTCCTTCTGTCTATTCAGGTAGACAGGAAACAAGACAGCATAAAGGAGTGTAAACTCATTAAAGGTCTTTGGGAAAGCTCTGGTAAAAAGAAAAAAATATACTTAATAAAAATTGAGCAAAGAAGTGACATTTGAATTTCTGACATTTCAGCTTTTTTGTTTTGTTTTGGTTTGGTTTTTTTTGAGATGGAGTCTCTCTCTCTCACCCAGGCTGGAGTGCAGTGGTGTGATTTTTTACTCACTGCAGCCTCCACCTCCCAGGTTTAAGCAATTCTCCTGCCTCAGCTTCCTGAGTAGCTGGGATTACAGGCACCTGTCACCACACCTGGCTAATTTTTGTAGAGACAGGATTTCACCATGTTGGCCAGGCTGGTCTTGAACTCTTGACCTCCCGTGATCCGCCCACCTTGGCCTCCCAAAGTGCTGCGTTTGCAGAAAGGAGCCACCGTGCCTGGCCTTCAGCTTGGTTCTTTAACCCATGCTTCCTCTCTCTTCTGCTTCCCATCCTGCACTGTTTACAGAATCACTTTCGGAGTCTCCTATAGACACAGTAATTGGACCTGTGTTTCTTCTAATCTTTATATGACAGTACATTTCTTAATTCAGGGACCATCCCCTATCCCAAATTCCATCCTGTAAGATTCGAAACCTGCGAGTTCATGTGAATGGGTGTTGGGAGGGGCTGGATGCCATGTAGTCTCTTACGAAGGCCTCAGGGTGCTTATTTATGTCATTGCTTTGCCCTTGTCAAATGGCATTGATTGATCTGAGGCACTCAGAAAGTTAGGGTAGACTCTATAAATAATTCCATTATTCCTCATCCTCTTCCTTATTATCTTATTGATTAGTCATTTTCTAGATCACTTAAATTCTTCCTCCACAGAGCCCTGATTCTCCACCTGCAGTTGGAGTCTCCCTAGCCCATCACTCAGCTTTTCAAGATTCATTATGATGCTGGCAAGTGAGGAATTTCTTAAGCGAGGAATCAGTGTTTCATGCCTGTTTACCTTGTAAGAGCCCAGTGCAATGAACCATCTACCTTGTCTGAGGTGGTGTGTCCTTTAGTGAGAAATAAGTATGTTTTTAAATTTTGTTTCAGGTAAAAAAAAAAAAAAGCCTAGCCCTGAGTTACACCCTTTTCTTCTCTGCCCAAGACTTTGTAGCATTTAAGTTTTATGAAGGAGTGCATTAAACAGAATTAAGGTAGTACATTGGCGTCTGCCTGTAATCCCAACACTGTGGGAGACCAAGGAGGTAGCATCACTTGAGACCAAGAATTTGAGAACAGCCTGGGCCACACAGCAAGGCCCCCATCCCTGCAAAAAATAATAATAAGAAGAAAATTACCCAGGCATAGGGGTGCATGCCCATAGCCGTAGCTACTTGAGAGTCTAAGGCAGGAGGATCACTTGAGCCTGGGAGTTCAAGGTTGAGTGAGCCATGATCACCCCACTACTCTGGCCTGGGCAACAGAATGAGACCCTGTTGCTAAAAATAAATACAAAGAAACAGAATTACTTGTATAATAAATAAATAAATAAAAATAAACAATGAAACGTATATGATAAAACGAAGAACTTTTGTAGGTGATTTAGTTCATTCCCCAGTCATTGGAAAAGGTAATACGCAAACTGTCCCTGACTATTTAAGTTAGAACTGCAGACGTTGTTGTCTAGAAAGAACCACAGAGCACTGGTCACAAATTTAATCTCATATTAAAAATGATGATTTCTGGCCCTATTCAAGACCGCCTGAACCAGAAGCTTTAGGGGTGGGCCTTGGGATTCTGAAACTTTAAAGCCCTCCTGGTGGTGCTTATGTGCAGTTGGTGTGAGAACTACTGTTTTGGAGGTGGTCTAGCTTTGTCCCTGAATTTCTGTAAGGAGATGACATCAGGGTCAATTTTAATATATAGTGCAGCTTCTTATTTAAAATTTAAATTGGGTTTCCTCAAGCTCTCTTCATAAGCTGCCTAGTCTGGATTTTCTCTTAAGTAAATACATCTTTTTTTTCACTTCAACAGATGTTCAAGCAAATGCTTTCAGAAAAGCAAACCAAATGGGAGCATTACAAGAAAGAGGGTTCAGAGCGGATGACTGAGCTTGCTGATGTCTTTTCAGGAGTGAAACCCCTAACAAGAGTGGAGAAAAATGGTAATTGCTGAAGAGGAAATACTGGTGTGTTTGAAATGTAGGCACAGGTTATTTGACACCTTGGAAAAGGCTTTATGTTCTCATTATTGTATCCTTTGATATTCCCTCTTTAGTGTTGCTAATAAAGATCTGAAGGTTAGTTTTGGCTGCTTCTAGCTTTCTGCTCTCCTGGGCAATGTTCATGTCCATTCTAGAGTTCAGGTTTTATATCTTATCTTTGATGGTAACTCCAGTTCATAGACAAGTTTAGAGAGTCATAGTTGGCCTCCACCTCCATGGTATGAAAAACTAATGAGTCAGTTTATGTGCATTTGGGGGAAGGGGGGAAAGGATCTGAAACTCTCATGATCTTCTCAAGAAGGATAAATCACCCATGAATGTCAGTAGTCTAGTAACATAGATGATATATAAAATTCTGTTTCTCCGTTCTTGTTCACCAATGCACCTGCTATCTAGTGGCAGAAGAGGGAACTGCAGACTATTTTTGGGAAAAAAACACAGCCCAAGTTTTACTTTAATGATTTTGATCCTACTTCTTCTGGAAATTTTATTTTTAGGAAAATTCTGGCACCATTTCAAATTTTTATAAATAAGAAATTTTCTAACTGCTCCCCAAAAGCTTTCTGAAGTTTTTCAGAATAGTGAATAGTGACAAACTATTTTTTTAATGCTTAATTTTGTTTTAACTATCTGATTGATTTCTGATGAAGTTAATTATACTGTAGAATTTCTTGGTAGTGTAGCTTCTTGTTTAAAAACTATTATTTTTAATCTGAGCTTGTGATTACTGTATTTTGGCTTTTGTTTATTTCTTTGATGCTGAGTGGTTGGTCAAAAATATATTTCCAAATTGTATTATTGTTCCTATAGGGAAAAATCAGCCAATATATAATGATGTCACATAAACTGGAAACATGTTTTGTAGGTCACTATATTGTGATATGAAACCTGAAGTCTAGAATGAATATAATGGTTATCATATTGTGACCTGCAAAACAATCACGTGTAACAATCTGACCCAGTTAGCTGTCCAGAATCAGCACGTTCATCTCTGTGATTGTTTCTTTTAGGCCCTTACAAATACCAGCGTTGTTTCAGAGATGAAATAACAATTTTACATTTTTTTCCGGGCTGTATAGCTTATTACAGCTTAGAACATACTTTCACAAATTTTTCTCATTTGATCTTTACGACCCTTTAAGATACACATCTTAATCTTTATTTTATATGTAAGGAAACTGAGACTTAAAAATGTAATCATTTGCCAAAGGTACGAAGGTAGAGAGCCAGGGTCTCAGTCACCTCAGACCTGAAATGTCATGCTCTTTCTACTCCTCCAATCGCTGCCCGTCAGCCCTACAAAAATCTACAAAATTATGAGTGTTCGTCATGCCAATTCTTGAAGTAACTTAGATTATAAGTCATTAAGTCCTTTTAATAAGGTGAAACCACCCCATTGATTAAAAAAAAAAAAAAAAAAAAAAAAAAAAAAAAAAAAAAAAAAAAAAAAAAAAAAAAAAAAAAAAAAAAAAAAAAAAAAAAAAAAAAAAAAAAAAAAAAAAAAAAAAAAAAAAAAAAAAACTAGAGGACTAACTTGGTGAGGTAAAGAGCACAGAGTTTTTGAACCCAGACAGACGGTTGTTAAGTCCTGGCTCTGCCATTTAGTAACCATGTCACTCTGCATAATATTTTCAGTTTCTCTGAGCATCAGCCTCTTTATCTGGGAAATAGCTAACAATTTCCACCTCCCTATATTGCTGCGAAGATTAAATACTTAGAACTTTGTCTGACACACTGAGGGTACTTAGAGCATGTGGACACCCTTCTCTTTCTCCACTGTATGAAATGTCTGCTGGTTCATAAATGCAAATGGCACCCCCTGAACTGTTCAGACATCCCTGTGACTCAGCAGTCACACCTTACACTTTTGTCATATTGGTCTCTTCTTTCCCCTCCAAGATAGGCTCTTTTTTGTTGTGATTATCAGACCGAATTCTGATGAAGTTAATTATACTGTAGAATTGCTGTAGATGTACTGTAGACATCTGCCCTGATGTCTCTGCCTGTGTCTGCCTTTCATCTAGATACAGTATACCCTTCTTCATCTCTCCAGCGATCCAGATCTTTACCTATACTCGCTTCTCCAGAAAACTCCCCCTGGGAACTAGGGACACCCTTTAGTTCCTTTCTGACTCTTCTCCACTGCCACTACCACCTTCACACTTACCCTTGATAGCATGTACTTGGGCCTGTAGTATTTGTCTGCCAAGTGTTATAGACAAAGCTGTTTATGTAGAAAGTTTATTCTATGATGGTGCATGCTCCAGGCACTTCTGTCGTTTAGAAAATTCCTAGTGTTAGGCCCATGGTAAAAGCTCTGAAGAACTGAATTTGTAAAAGATTATATAATTCAGTTCAAAGCCACAGCTACAGGAATTCAAGGATTTCAGTAATCTTTTCTTATTTCTGTATTCCAGAAAATCTTCAAGCTTGGTTCAGAGAGATCTCAAAACAAATATTGTCATTGAATTATGATGATTCTACTGCTGCGGGCAGAAAAACAGTGCAACTGATACAAGCTTTGGAGGAGGTAAGGAAGTTAAAATGAAGATTCTTAGATTATGAATCATACCTTATGACCCACCCAGCAGTGTGTTCTGTAAATATATCTAAGAGACTATTTCATCAGAAATAAAAGCAACATTAATTAATATGTTTCCTGTAACACTTAGTGCCCTAAATTTGGGGAAATAAATGACCAGTATGAAGAGAATGGTGGCAAAAATTACAATATTTTAACTTGAGGAAACATGTAATCTTAGAAACATAATTATAAAAATAATATAGAAACACTGGGCAAATTGTATTAAGGAGGTAAAAGCAAAACCAAAATTGCATGTGTATATTATTTTTGGGGTTGCAAAAAAGTGTGTGCCTTGGGGAAAAAAACACACAAAAATGAAAATAATTATATAATGATCATATGCCTACAGTGGTATATTTTCTTTTCTGAAAAAATAGTTTGTTTTTCTATCAACTAAAAATGATTGTACCAAAAAAATTAAACCTCACTACTCTTAAATTTTATTTGTGTATTTAACTAGATTTTCAATGGAAACTAAAAGCATGAGAAAAATAACCATAAACTTTTTTTTTTTTTTTTTTTTTGGTGAGACGGAGTCTCGCTTGCTCGGTCGCCCAGGCTGGAATGCAGTGGTGTGATCTCAGCTCACTGCAACCTCCATCTCCTGGGTTCCAGTGATTCTCCTGCCTCAGCCTCCAGGGTACCTGGGACTACAGGCACCCGGCACCGTACCCCGCTAATTTTGTATTTTTAGTAGAGATGGGGTTTCACCATGTTGGCCAGACTGGTCTCAAACTCTGGACCTCAAGTGACCCACCCATCTTGGCCTCCCAAAGTGCTGGGATTACAGGCATGAGCCACTACGTGCCCAGGCAACTCTATTATTTAAAACATAATTTTTGGCCGGGCGCGGTGGCTCAAGCCTGTAATCCCAGCACTTTGGGAGGCCGAGGCAGGTGGATCACAAGGTCAAGAGATCGAGACCATCCTGGTCAACACGGTGAAACCCCGTCTCTACTAAAAATACAAAAAATTAGCCGGGCATGGTGGCGTGTGCCTGTAATCCCAGCTACTCAGGAGGCTGAGGCAGGAGAATTGCCTGAACCCAGGAGGCGGAGGTTGCGGTGAGCCGAGATCGTGCCATTGCACTCCAGCCTGGGTAACAAGAGTGAAACTCTGTCCCCCCCCAAAAAAAAAAAATAAAATAAAATAAAATAAAATAAAACATAATTTTTACTCATAATCTATAACCCTATCCAAATGGTGTGAATATATATTTTTAGAAATATAATTAATATTTTTTTCCCTTGGTAGATTTTGTTACAGGCTTTTTCTTAGTTCTGCAAGATTTTTAGGATGGTCACTATAAACAGCAACACAGTAAAATATTCCTACCAAAGTTTCTTACTCCAGAATAACTGCACACTTGTATTATTTCTACTTTGCTTGTTTTGGATTTTTTTTAGTCTACAATACAATTGTAAATAACTTTGTAAATCTCAAATGTTTTTTATCATTTGCCTTATTTATTTTGGCATATAACCCAGGCATCTTGAGTTAAATACATTAAAATTTCAAGACATTGTAGAATCATGATTTTGTTTTAAAAGTGCATCAGAAGAACTTGATAATATACAAGTGCCGACATACTGGTTGTGATATACAGAATAATAAGCAGTGGAACATTTTTTAATCCCAGAAACTTGTGCATTTTTTAAATAGCTTGGCTAGTGTATTTCTGAAATTATAATTTGAAATAAAAATTTTATTAAGAACTTGTGAGAAGTAGTGTGCTTTATTTGAAGTATTTTCAAGAACAAATGAGCACCATAGAGTCCATTCAGGATTTTTTAAATGAAGTGTATTTCTGTAACACAGGTTCAAGAATTCCACCAGTTGGAATCAAATCTGCAAGTATGCCAGTTTCTTGCCGATACTCGAAAGTTTCTTCATCAAATGATCAGAACTATTAACATTAAAGAAGAGGTTCTGATCACAATGCAGATCGTAGGGGATCTTTCTTTTGCTTGGCAGTTGATTGACAGGTAATGTAGACAGCCTGACATTTGCCCTTGATGGAAGCCCTGGGAGCATCTTCTTACCATTTCTCTGTTTTTACAGTTTCACATCCATCATGCAAGAAAGCATAAGGGTAAATCCATCCATGGTTACTAAACTCAGAGCTACCTTCTTAAAGGTAAGCAAAAACAATGAGATTCTCTGTTACTAGGAAAGAGTTGGCCTTCATTCATACCTTATTCATTAATTCAGCCCAGCATTTTATCCTTTTAGGAAGGTAAATAATTTCAGTATTTTTATAGACTGAAATTGTTAGCAATTTTTCCATGAGAGCATAGTATCAAAGATGCTAGAAATATTTAAAGTTTGAATTAATAATATAAGTTGGAGTGTCTTCAGGAATACTATTTTTAAGTGAAGAATAGATTTTTTTTTAAGTTTTATCTGTGTACTAAAAATGCAAGACCTTTGTGTTCTTTATTCGCTGGGCATGAATTAAGCTAATTCACTTACTCATTCCAAAAATTCTTACTAAGCCTCTGCTACAAACTAGTATTAATATCTACAATAACAGTTAGAGAATAGTGGTGAATAACAGGCACAGCCCATGTGCTTGTGGTAATTTCAGTTCATGGTAAATGAAGAAAGAATCTACTCAATGTCTTCTTCCTCTTTTTTTTTTGAGATGGAATCTCCCTTTGTTGCCCAGGCTGGAGTGCAGTGGTATGATCTTGGCTCACTGCAACCTCCGCCTCCCAGGTTCAAGCAATTCTCCTGCCTCAGCCTCCCGAGTAGCTGAAATTATAGGCATTCACCACCACGCCCAGCTAATTTTTACTATTTTTAGTAGAGAGAGGGTTTTACCATGTTGGTCAGGCTTGTCTCAAACTCCAGACCTCAAGTGATCCTCCTGCCTCAACCTCCCAAAGTGATGGGATTGCAGGTGTGAGCCACCACGCCTGGACTATTCAGTGTCTTCTGACAGAGCTACCATGTACCGTATATATCAATTCTGAAATGCACCTTTTTTGGGGGGATTTGGGGGTGAGGGGGATGGGTTTTCACTGTGTTGGCCAGGGTGGTCTCAAACTCCCAGGCTCAAGTGATCCTCCTGCCGTAGCCTCCCAAGTAGCTTTAATTATAGGTGTGCACCACTGCGCCTGGCTACTACACTGTTTTTCATATGTTAGCATTTCTGTAACTGGGGATGGGTTTTGTAATTGATGGTATATCATAGTTTAGTTGTCAGCATTTTGTTTTTTTCTGAGTGGCACAGAAAATAATGACACCTCTTAGACTTGACGGCATTATTAGATTGGACAGATTCAGTAGCGCATCAATCAGAACGTCTTGATTTCCACACAGGAGTGGCTGTCCTCTGTGGCACAGTGGCTCTGAAACTTGAGCATGCATCAGAATCACCTGCAGGGCTGGTTGTAACACAGATTGCTGGGCCCCACCACCAGGGCGTCTGATTACGTCAGTGTGGAGTGGGGCCCAATAATTTGCATGTCTAACAAGTTCCCGGGTCATGCTAAAGCTACTGGTTTAGGGAGCACAGTTTAAGAACCACTGCCAGCCAGGCATGGTGGGCTACGCCTGTAATTCCAGCACTTTGGGAGGCGAAGGCGGGTGGGTCACGAGGTCAGGAGTTTGAGACCAGCCTTACCAACATGGTCTCCACTAAAAATACAAAAATTAGCTGGTTGTGGTGGCACGCACCTGTAGTCTCAGCTACTCAGGAGGCTGAGGCAGGAGAAACGCTTGAACATAGGAGGTGGAGGTTGCAGTGAGCCAAGATTACGCCACTGCACTCCAGCCTGGGTGGGCCACAGAGTGAGACTCCATCTCAAATAAATAAATAAATAAATAACCACTGCCATCACAGTTTAACTAGAGTTTTTCAAAAAGTATATTGTCAGAAACTATTAATAATATGGATGAGATTTGGTGGTTGTTGCCCTCTGTTGGGTAAAGCTCAAATGTTTTGTTGTATGTTACATTTTCTGTAAAGAAAGATTTCTAGGACTCTTTCTGAAACAGAGAAACAGATATACCTTATTTTTCTTCCAGCTTGCCTCTGCCCTCGATCTGCCCCTTCTTCGTATTAATCAGGCAAATAGCCCTGATCTGCTCAGCGTGTCACAGTACTATTCTGGAGAGTTGGTGTCCTATGTGAGAAAAGTAAGAAATGCATCAGGGTGATATTTACTCTTACCAGATAGCTGTTGTTTTAAGTACAAAAGTATGCTTAGGCCCCCAAAAGTACATTCATGCCTCTTTTACTATTTAGAATTTGATTCCAGAAATTTTCAACACCTAAAAATAAACTTATTCTTATTGCTACTGTGGATGTACAGCTGTTTTTACTTCTGTGTTTTGAATGTTGGTGGTATTCACCTCTGTTTTTTAGATGTAGAAGCAGAAATTATAATAGTTTCTTCTAAATCGCAGAGCCACATCTAGATCCAACATCTCCAGGTCAGAGCACAATTCAGGTTTTCATGGGAATTTTGATCCTCATTTTAATAACTTCTTATAGAACATGGAGCCAAACAGGCCTGAATTCAAAATTTAACAGCGTCACATACTAGCTGAGTCCTCTGTAGTGATGTTACTTAACATTTTTGAACCTCGATCTTTTTAAGTTCTGTAACATGGAAATGATACAGTCTTTTGCAGCATTTTAGAATTAGCTTTATATTCTGTAAGCAACTAAAGTTTAAAGGAATGGAGCCCTGTGCCTGCTGGCAGTTATTAAAATAGCTCTTTTAAGTTTTTCAGCATCCCCTTTACAGACAAATTGCTGTTTACTGTCATCCTAATATTTGTCAGCCAAGAAAAGTAAAATGGGTATTCATTGCGTTTCCTCCTTTCCTTTTCATTGAAGGTTTTGCAGATCATCCCAGAAAGTATGTTTACATCTCTTCTAAAGATCATAAAGCTTCAGACCCACGATATTATTGAAGTGCCTACCCGCCTGGACAAAGACAAGCTGAGGGACTATGCCCAGCTGGGCCCACGATATGAGGTGTGATGCCCCTCTGACTTCTGCCTTTTCATATTAAAAACTAACAGTCATGAAATATCACAGGCCTGTGTCACCTGCCATATGCTGGGGACCCACCAGACCATTTCTGACTTGTTTTCTCACATTCGCAATGATAAACATGGTTTACGATTTTAGTAGAATCATACCTTTTATTCTTGATATTTTCCTGGTGTCATTTAAGGCCTTGTTTGCCTCAGTATGCTCAGGGAAAATGGAGCTCACTCAGCTGGTCACTTTTTTCTAGAATTGTCTTGGTAAAGCAGCCCTTGTTCTCTTTGAGCTAGATTATCTGACTTTTCATATTCATGTTCCTGCTTTTTGAGCTTAAAATAATCTATATTCTGTTAACTGTATCCTGTGGGTGGATTTTAAGCTCATTCAATAATAGTTCAGCAGCCTCAGAGGTTATTCTCACCAAACACCTCTGGTTTTTTTCTCCCTGAGCTTATAATTTAAAGACATCAAAAGTAAAATCAAGTGAAAATAGAAAATATGATGTACAGTGTTAATTTCCCATTCTGACACAAGTTCAAGAAATATGTCAGAGACTTAGATTATCAAACTTGGTATTTCCACATTTATTCTGATTGAACAATGTAGCTAGCACCTGTCTACCATGTCAATATCTGCTGGTGTAGCTTGCAGATAATGGGGAGGCTAGTGAAGGGGAGGTTGCCTTCTCAGTCTCATAGTCTTTTCTAACCGGAAGAGCCGATCTAGATCATTGAGTTCTGCCATAAATTTTATACATGCGAAAATGAAGCCTAAAGAAGAAATGCTTTGTCAAATGTGAAAGAATGAACTGATGTCTTCTGACTCAGTTACCCGAAATGTCTAACAGTGGGCATAAAAGCCACATTTCTGTCCAGAACATGTGGACACAGGTATCCTAAAGCTACAAGTTCATTTCCTGTTATCTTTGCCCATTCCAGGACTATTAGCCAATGATTTCTGATTTCCCAGAAGTGATGGGTCTTTTATCTGAAGTACTTTTCATACCTCTTTTTCTTTGTTAAAGGTTGCCAAGCTTACTCATGCTATTTCCATTTTTACTGAAGGCATCTTAATGATGAAAACGACTTTGGTTGGCATCATCAAGGTAACAGTTTTGTTAGTCAGTGTGGCCTTGTACCATGACTCTGTTTGGATTTTTGTGGTAATTACCATTTGTAGGGAGTGACATCATCTTGCTATTTCACATTCCAATTTTGGTCTTCATTTTATTGATTAATTTATTTTATTTTTTGAGGCAGAGTTCTCTGTTGCCCAGGCTGGAGTGCAGCGATGCGATCTTGGCTTACTGCAACCTCCATCTCCCAGGTTCAAATGATTCTCATGCCTCAGCCTCCCAGGTAGCTGGTACTACAGGCATGCAACACCACACCCGGCTAATTTTTGTATTTTTAGTAGAGACAGGTTTCACGATGTTGGCCAGGCTGGTCTCAAACTCCTGACTTCAAATGATCCGCCCGCCTTGGCCTTTTAAAGTGCTGGGATTATAGGCGTGAGCCACTGTGCCCAGCCCATTTTACTCACTTACTGATGGAGGAAGAGAAAGCATTGTAATTTGTATTTCTCTTAATACTTGAGGGCAGTGGGAATTTCTTTACCTTGCAGTTCTGCAGAAAATGTGTGGTGCTATTACTGTTTTACCAAAGAGTTGTTTAAATCTAAGAAAAATATATTTTATTGAATTTTGGGAAAAGCAAAAAAACAAAAATTCAATTTCCTTAGGCAAAATTGCTTTCTTCTTTCTCTCTTTTCCTTCCTTTATTTTTAGTATTTTTATTTCATACCCCAGGTACAGAGAGCTAAGATAATCACATCCCTCTTTTCACAGACCACTGTCGTCACTGGGGCATGCAAGCTCCTCTCCTGTTTTGTTTGTTTGTTTTCTTCTTCTCCTGGTCCCTGCTTCCATTTCCATTACCCATGACGCCAACTATGTGTGTTTGGTAAATGTTCCTAAATATGCAGTTGTTCTTATTTTTAGCAGCTGGCATTATTTGATGTGTGCATGTGCTTTTGATTTATCTCAATCATATGGTGCTCTAAATCTCATTCTTTTTCCAACTTCTCTTACTGGTGATTGCTTTTGTAATTTATTTATATTGCTATAGGTCAGATAGTAGGTTACTTTTTACTGCTGCACAGAATTCCACGTTTTTCCTAACCACCCGGCTTGGGACAGACACTTATGCCCTCCGATTATCACAACCAATGTCATGATGAGCATCTCTGAGTATATCCCCACTCCAGACCTGTGCAAGAATTCCTCTGAAATCTACATTCTTTTCGAGTGGCTGCAGACCAATCCATAGTACAAATACGCCATGGTATATTTGACCATTCCCCTACTGATGGATGTTTAGATACACGTGTTCTTTGACTTCCAATGGTGTTACCTCCTAATAAACTCATCGCATGTTGAAAATATCACAAGGCGGCTGGGTGCGGTGGCTCATGCCTATAATCCCAGCACTTTGGGAGGCCGAGGTGGGTGGATCA